TGTAGTGAATGAACCATGCTGAGTCAGCTTGAATGAGGGATGCTTGGTCAGTTCCATGGCTTGAATGATGCTCACATTGTGTATATGTTCAATCATGATTAAAAGGACTCAATCCATCACCAACACCCAACGGAGTGGCCTTGTCTGTGACAGTGTTCTATAAAACAGTTTGACAGAGAGCCGAAGGCTCAAACCAGATGCCAGAAACACTGAGACCTGATGGAGGGCTGTGTGCTGGTCCCTAGGTGTCATGGCTGCTTCTAGGTGACATGAAAGAAGTTGGAGAGCTTGTCCACAGCCACACGGCTAACAAACTGAGGGGCCACAAAGTTAATGCAATTCTTTCTGTCCCTGAGATTAGCCATATAGCAGTGATACAAGCTCATGGAAAAGTCTGTTTTATCTGCCTGATTTCCCAGGGGCGTCCCTCTGAGCTTCTTGGCAGGATCCATGGAGAAAAGTACATTCAGTCTTGAGAACAGTGCTGTCTGCTGATCTCAAGAAGATCCCAAGCCCAATTAATTTACCTAATTTCAGTGGCAGCCGTCCCACTCCCTTTCCCACGTCTCTGGAGGAGATGGGCTTTTGTTCACCTAACCACACCTATGTGAAGAAACACTGTTAACTGATGACGTCCAGTGTGGCTTGTCTTAGATTGTCTCATAATTCTGTGATGCCTGTTATTTCTCTTCTGTGATTTTATGCTGCATGTCCTGAAATGGAGACAGTACTGGCTTCAGGGTTGGGTAACAGGAGCTGGTCAGAAATTGTCTGCTGGTTGAATGTTTGGCCCTTGAAATAACTATCAGCCCAGAATTCAAACAAGCTGTGTTCTAACCAGACGTCCTCACAGGAGACCAACCTCATGTCCCCTGATTCTGAGACTTGAAATTAACAGAACAGCCCTTGTGGTGCCAGAGCCCTGGAATAGCAAAGCTGAAAATGGTCACAGAGAGACACCTGACAAGGCTAGCCTGAGACCCATCTGGAGACTTCCACAAGCCTGACGTTCAATCATCAATGCAAATGTCTGGTCTTAGGTGGGCGGTGAGCTGTCTCTCTTCTGCCGAAGCTCCCCACACAGACAATGGCATGTAAAGCCTAACATGGGGTATGTTTTCAGTAGTAGACTGAAGGGAGCAGATGATTTCCTCAGTGAGTGTGTATTGCAGTTATGAGCATATAAAGGCATGTTATTTAAACCTCAGCTAAACAGCAGTGTTTGTCACTGAGGACTCTGCAGAGAGTTACCTCACCATGAGGAATCATTAAGAATAACTGTGGGGTTCTGGAGAATAGGCTCAGTGGTTAAAAGCACTTACTGCTCCTGAGAAGGACCCAGGTTTGGTTCCCAGCACCCCACAATGGATCCCCAGCGTCTGTAACTCCAGTTCCTAGAGATCTGATGTTCTCTTCTGGCTTCTTCAGAAACTTCATGCATATGGTGTACATAAAATTCACAGAAGACCACAAATACAGAATTAAAAGATAATTCTTTTAAAGAAAAAGGTTTACTTTGGCCTGAGATGGCTCAGTGGCTAAGGGGGCTTACTGCTCTTTCAGGGGACCTGAATTTGTTTTCTAGTACCCATGTCAAAGAGGTCCGCAGCTGCTTATGACTCTAGACCCAGGGAATCTGATCCCTTCTTCTAGACTTCTCAGGCGTCTGCACTCACACAAGCGCATATTCACATACAGACACTGCGTCACACATAATTAAAAATAATGGTTTTAAAACAGTTATTATGGATGGTTCCTGTCAATCTCTGAAACTAGGAAACCCAAGTAAGTATGGAAATTGCCCTGTTAGATGCTGCCAGAGCCTGAGAACTGAATGCCCTGACTTTAGCTGCCCACATCTTTTCAACTCTTCTCCACACTATAGCCAAAAGAAAATCCCCAAATCACAGCCAGACAATGCATCTCCCCTGTTACTTGCCTCCCATGGCCTTCAGTGGAAACATCAAATTCCTCATCCCAGCCCCAAATTTCCTGGGGTCCAACATCACCCTCTAGTTCTACCCCTGTTGTCCAGAAAGAGACATCTGAACACTTAGACCTCCATATACATTCTTCCTCTCTTCTCACCTCCACCCACTCAGCTCTGATTAGATGCCCCATGCCGTGTCTTTTTATATTCCTAAACCACCTGCCCACTGAAACCTTTCATTTTCTCTACCTTAATGCATTTATTCCTCTGACTGTAATACTGAATCCTGAAGAAATACTTGTGAAAACACACAAACATATGTCCAAGGACATTTGTGGTTTTTTTTTCTGCATTAGCAAGAAAATAGAGATAAGTTCTTGAGTGGTTTAAATAATCAGTGTTATATCTATTTTGTGGTTGTTGCAGAGCTAGAAAAATGAAGACAGGTCAGAAGAGATGCACATGGAAAGTCACTGATGAGCTGGCTCATAGTATGTCGTAGTGGGAGCCCTGGGGCTCAAGGACATACATATTCCTGCTTGGCAGGCAGCCTTTCCCGGAGAAAAGAATATTCACATTCCTGGCCTTTAGCTCCTCCGTTGATCTCCCAAACAATGTTTAGTCGAGAGATCAAGTCATAGAAAGTATGCACATGAGTGTCCTGCTCTTTTCCAATCAAAATTTTACATTTTTCCTTTGGGTAAATCAAATATAATGAGTTTCCACAAAGACACGGTAGACTCAGAGAAAGCCATTGCAGTCTTCGCCTGGGCATATCTAACTGCCGTTCACAAAACCTGCAATCAAATTTCTTAATTTGCCACTGATTTGATCTCTGACTTGTAATTTTACTTAACTGTTTGGATTTCACTTTCCTTCTCACACACTGAGGAAACAGGGACAAAAAAAAAAAAAAATACCTCCACAGTCTCTTTAGTACAGGGCGTTACTCTACTACTGTCAAGGAGGGTGCAATTTTAGCAAGAGCAACAATTGCCATAATTTTTAATGGCTATAAGCACTGTTCTTATATTAACCAGTTTGTCATAGCAATTCCAGCTATGCACTTAACACTATTACATCCATTTTATGTAAGAAGACACTGAAGGCCTAAGATGATGTATATTAGCCCCAAATTACACAGCTCTAACACTGTGGAGCTGGGGCCAATTTCCAGGCAGCATGGTTCCAGAATTTGTGAGGATATCCGCTCTGTGGTTGCAACGGAGAGCCATTGTCTTGTTGCTAAAGTATTCATTTAAAAAATGGTGTTGGGAAAGGGGAGTGGGAAAAGCCAATATTAAATCCATAGCTGGTAAAATTGTCTCTGTAAAAGGCCAAATGCAAAAAGAGAGGGAAAGTTCTATTCCTGTGTATGATCATTTTAGGATACATTTCTCCTAGATGCTATAATGTGGTTTTATCTACATACTTCTGTATAACAAAAAAAAAAGTATTAAAAAAGATGCCTCTTCTGCAGCATTCTTATGCATTTTTTCCTCTGAAAATAACAGCATCAACTGCACCCCATATTGATGCTCTCGATTTTAATTTCACAGATGAAAGAACTCGGTGTCATCTTCTACAACTGCAGCTGCCTGGTCCTAGACTTACAAAGGATATTCGCTTTGTACAGCTCACTCAAGTTCAAGAGCAGAGTACCTCAGACCTGGTCCAAGAGACTCTACGGAGTCTATGACAATGAGAAGAAGCTCCAGCTCCAGCTGAACGAAACCAAGTCACAGGCCTTTGTGTCGGTGAGTCACGTACCCTCGCTGCTACACTCCCCAACTTTTGCCCTCCAAAGGCTATGTACACTGGCCCCTCCCACTCCTCCAGATGCCCCTCCCCACATCACATCCCAACCTCAAAACCTTTTCTTTCTTATAACCCACCATGTCCAGCTGACGATGCCCACGTGCGCATGGGCATAAGGCTGTTGACTAGAGCATGGGCAGCATACCGAAGGCCTCTGAGGGAAAAATGACCTTCCTAGAATGCTGGGTGGCTTGATACCTTGCAGGTCTTATGGGCAACATCAACTGTTGTGAATTTGTAAGCACAACAGCCCTGTCATGTCCAGAAGATGCTATTGCTCAACAGTCCCCACTGACTCTTACAATATTTCTTCACTTTTTATTGCAACTTCCCTGAGTCCATGGGGGAGGCGTGATAAAGATTCCATCGTGGCCATTTTACAAAAAAGGATGGTGAAAAGGAGGGCAAAGTTGTTTGTCTAAAATAAAAAAATCCTATAAATGTGGAGAGCAGAAAATGGGTGTGAAGGACTTCGATGGAGCAGTGAGGCATTTTTTTTTAAGGTGGAGAATGCAGAAGTAGAATCACCCCAGAGAACCTTTCAGAAGCAGCGTTTTCTTTGCATCTCAAGATAACAATAGCTGACAACACATGCTGGAGAGGCTGTGGAGAAAGGGAACCCTCCTCCACTGCTGGTGGGAATGCAAACTGGTACAACCACTCTGGAAATCAATCTGGTGCCTTCTCAAACAACTAGGAATAGTGCTTTCTCAAGATCCAGCTATACCACTCCTAGGCATATATCCAAAAGATGTTCCAGTATACAACAAGGACATTTGCTCAACCATGTTTGTAGCTGTTTTATTCATAATAGCCAGAAGCTGGAAACAACCCAGATGTCCATCAACGGAGGAATGGATACAGAAATTGTGATATTCTTACACAATGGAACACTACTCAGCAATTAAAAACAAGGAAATCATGAAATTTGCAGGCAAATGGTGGGATCTAGAAAAGATCATCCTGAGTGAGGTATCCCAGGAGCAGAAAGACACACATGGTATATACTCACTTATAAGTGAGGGGAGGAGGGAGTGTCTTATGGGGGGATACAAAGTTAATAAAGTGTAATTAATAAAATAAAATTTAAAAAAAGAAGCTAAGCAAGAAGGACAAAAAAAAAAGATTCCCTCTTCTCAAATATGTCTAAGTTTGTGTCAAATTGACAAAACACAATCAGCACACTCATATGCAATTTAGATTTATGTGTGTACATATATATATATATATATATATATAGAGAGAGAGAGAGAGAGAGAGAGAGAGACATGTATTTGTCAGTGTGTATACACACACACATACAAACATACCACAACAACCTGGGTTTGAGAAAGCACACACACACACACATGTGTGTGTGTGTGTGTGTGTATGTATGTATGTATGTATATATTCTCTAAGAACATATGTCTTCTTGGAGAAGTCTTGCCATCAGAACTGGGCCTCTTGCTCTTACCCTAGTGTTTACCAGGACTTTGCAATTATTTGTTTATGATTATTTCCCCATAATTTTATAAGGCTCTAAAGAGTACATATCCTCTTTATAACTGATATTCCTAGGATCTCACTTGACTCTTTGAAAGCAGAAGTAAATAAATAAATGTTAGACTGGGTTGATTGGTAGTGATATTGTTGGAAAGTTCCAGAACATATATAGCTTTTTCAGTAATCTATGCCAAGCAAATGCCAAGGCAAACTAATTTAAGTTCAATATATTTGTTGCAAAAAAAATCTGAAAATAGTACATCGTATTTTTGGAAGCTGACAGTCCAAAACTAAGTTGAACACATGCAGAGAATGTCTGAAGACTTGAAAAATCATCAGTCCTAAAATTACAGTTTTGGATCCTAACTTACTACAATTAAATACCAATTTCCAGTTATGCGATAAGTAAAGTGTTGATCATTCATAACTCAGTACAATTAAATATAAATTTCCAGATAGGATATAAATAGAAAATTACTTATAATTTTGTCATGAACCACAAATTGGTTCTTGGTTAGATTGACCTACATGACTTCTAATGACTGGGTTCAACTGAAATGGGTGGTGGTGGGAGTTGTGTCTTGTAGATTTTTTTTTTCACTGACCTTAATGTACTTGAAAAAAAAAATTACACATTTGCTTTCTGGGGCAAAGCTTAGTTTTCTCACAGTCTGTTTATATTGATCTGGTTGCAAGGCAGGTTTCATTTCTTGTTCTTATTCAGTTCATCTGCCCATCAGTCATGGAGACTGAGCTGTATCCGATGAGAACGGATGACACTCCTCATCAGAACTGCTGTGGGAAAAAAAATATGCTATATTCCTTCTTAAAGCTTCCACTTTATTTTAATACTCGTATCTTAACATTTTACATTTAGCACTTTATTGAGATATGTTCTTTACTGTGAACTTAGTCCTTTTAGAGTTTATAGTTCCACGAGCTTTGTTATAGCCACAGGTTCTGCAGTCATCAGCACTGTCAAATTTCAGAATGCTTTCTTTGCCACAAGGGAACACCCATAATCATTGGCAGTTACATCCTGTTTTCCCATCCCTCAGCCCTGGCAACCTCTCATCTAGACCCTCATGGATGTACCCTTCCAGGGAGATTTTATTTAAATGTAGTGTTGCAAAATGTAATCTTTTGTGACTATTTTTCTTTTCCCCTAGCATGTTCCAAGAAGGTTTTAGCATGGGTTTATAGGTAGTTACTCTTTTCTTTTTATGACTAAATAATATTGCATTGTAAATAAGCCGCATTTTGTTTAAGTGTCTGTTGGTTAATAGATGTTTGGTGTTTCTGTCTTCCAGCTCTTGTGCCTATGGCCCCTGTGAACATTCATATCCAAGATTCTATCTAAGCACCCCTCCCTTTTTTTCTCAGGTTTTGCTCGGTGTTGACCATTTTGAGATACTGTTAAACCGTTTTTCCAAATGGGTTGTGCCACTCTAAAATTCCACCTGCCAGGCGTCTGCGTTCCTGTCAGCACTTGTCATTTCTGTCCCACATTAACCTTCTAGTGGGCATGAGATTGGTGTCACTGTGTGCTGACTGCATCTTTCAGGTGTACCCAGCGTCCACTGCGAGACCTCTTAGGGGAGACCTCCATGTTCTCCTTATGTGGCCAATTTGCAGATGGGCCATTTGCAAATCTTTTATCCCATTCTGTGGGTTTTCTTTCCACGTTTGGTTATATCTCAATGTTTACTCTTAGAAAGACAGCACGAACCTTCTAGAGACCAGGAGACCAGTGTGGAGTAAATCAGAAACCTACCAACTTTCTACAAAATGCATTCCAATTGAGTGTGCAAAATAAAATATGCATACATCCAGCCCTTCCTGATCCACGGGGTGTCTCAAGAGTTCCTAATTGGTAAAAAGGCAGCTGAAACATAAAACAGGCTCTGTAGTTGTGCCTTCTACTCCAGCTGTGGAATAAAGAAACACCTCAGCAGGCTTATCGCATTTCTTCTAGAGCGCTGAGGAGAACGTAACAGCCACCTCTGTGCAGCGGGAAGTGGTTCATAGCCTAGCTGAGCAATACACCTTTCTTTCATGGCTTTGTGTGTTAAGAAACATTCACAGTGTTTATAAAGGTAGAGCCAAGCTCCTAAGTGCAAAGACACTGGCCTAAACCATCATGCCTTCACTTCACAAACCCACACAACGCCTGCCAAGCCCCAGGCATTGCTTAGGGGAAACTCAGATAAGACTGAGGCAGATAAATGCTAACAAAGGTGTCCACATGTGTTTGGGGGGGAAAAAATAGAGTGAAGCTTCTCCAATTAGGAACGGAGGGAGGCTGGGGTGAGACAAACTTGCAACATTTATCAATTTATGTAATACATTCATGTTCATTTCACAGCTGCTTACTGAGCATGCAATATGCACAAGGTCCAAGGCGCAGGAGCTGTCCAAAAGAAAGACATAGCGCAGCCCGAAAGCTGGCAGATGATCAAGCACACCCACAAATGAAGCAGTGTCGCGTAGCAGGTGCTAGAATGAAGCTCTGCAATAAACAGAGCTTACCTTGACCACTGATACATGCCACTTGCCTAGACCTGAGCCCGGAGCAAGACAGGCACTTTGGAGTATCTGCTGATGGAGCAACAGCATGCTCACGACCCAGCCAGGGAACAGGCTATTCTCCTATTCAGTCCTCAGAGGCCACCAGTGTAGGAGGGTGAGACTCCTACTAACTTCACTATGAAGCAAACTAGCCAGGCCTGGTGGCGCCTGCAATCCCAGGACCCTACAAAAACAGAGGGTGGAGGTTTGCAATAAATTCAAGGTCAGCCTGGGCTACATGGAGGTTTCCAGGACCGCTGAAGTTACACCGAGGAACCCTGTCTCATGAAAGGAAGGGAGGGAGAGATGGAGAAAAATGGAGGGGGTGGTAAAGACGGGAAGGAAGGGAGATGAAAGGCAGAAGGTATATACTAACGTTCTTGGGTGGAATCTGGTCTAAAGCACCAAGGATTTCACTCTTCTCCTGATTTCAGGACACAGTGGCCCCAACCATTCCCCACTGAAATGTGTTTCTATCCAAAAGCAAAGCTCAGTTTGGAATCCCAGGATGAAACTTAGGCAGACCTTAACTGAAACAAAACCACCGGTGTTTTGACACATTTCAGAGCCTAGGGGTCTGTCCACAGATTGCTTTTTCAGCCATTGCATGGCACGCTGAGCCGCGTCTAAGACAGACCAAACAAGCAGAGGAAATCAAATCATGTGAATGTATAATTTTAATGATATAGAAAACTGAACAAAACACAACCCCTAAAATCAAGCTAGAAGCAGTGTAGCTGGTGGGAGGCAAGCACAAGCAATTATAGCTCTGAATGTGCCAAATATGACAGGAAGCAAATTCTGCAGGTGGGTTGTGGGAAGGGTTGCACAACAGTATTGACTCTGTAGGACAACATGACTGAAATGGTCAAGATGGGAGCGGGGATGTATCTCGTGGTAAATAGGTCCCAGCCTAAGGAAAGCCCTGGTTCCCACAGCCTGGGGATGGAGAGACAGAGAGAATAAAGGAGGGAGGGAGGGAAGGAGTTGATAAGAAAGAAAAAAGCATACGGCCTGGGAACACAAAGATGGGAGAGGTAGCTTCTGTCTGAAGATCAGAGAAAGAGAGAGAGAGATTGCTGAAGATACATATTTGAGCCGGAATTTATAGAACAGATCCAGTAGAAGCATGTCATCCAGAGGGCCCAGCTGAGCAAATGTCCAGTAGCAGAAAAGATGAGGACACAGCCACAGGCTGGGGATGTAAGAGGCAGAATAACAGCCAAGGGAACTTATCCCTGTGACAGGAGTTCATCCTGAAACCCATGTGGAGTCATCTGTTAGAGGCAAGGCAATGGTTTAGGAAGAGCGTTTGGCAGCATAGAATCTTTATACCAGACACTAAATGAGGCCCCAGTGCCTGAATGACAAATCAGGAGGAAGGGGATCAAATAGACCCAAAGATGCTGTTCCACTCATCTGTTCCAATGAGAGATGGAGTACCATCTGTCTGTGTGTTTTGTGTGTGTTGTGTGTGGTGTGTGTGTATGTGTGTGGCGGGGGGGGAAGCACAGGAACGCGCTGGGGAAAGCACAGGAACGCCTTGATCTGATGGCATTTTTTTTTTAGTTGGTTTTTTGAGACAGGGTTTCTCTACTCTGTAGACCAGGCTGGCCTCGAGATCCGACTGCCTCTGTCTTCTGAGCACTGGGATTGAAGGCGTGCGCCACCAGTGCCCAGCAATCCAATTCAAAAAATTCAAAAGCTTTTGAATACATTTTTTCCCACTAAAGAATGGAAGTTTATTCTCATTCTAAAAGAAAAATAACTCATCAAAAGTATACCCTGCCTATCACTGACCAAGAGGACTTCATCACCCTTCTCACTGCTGTGTCCAAATATCTGATGAAAGTGAGGAAGGGCTTGTTTCGACTTACAGTTCAAGGGAAAGTCCATCAAACGGTAGAGGCAACAGGAGCAGGAGGCAGCTGCTCCCACCACATCTGCAGCTGGGAAACAGCAAAAGAGGAACGCTGGTGCTCAGCTTGCTTTCTCTTTTTATGCAGTTTGAAACCCCAGCCCATAGGACAGTGCCGCCCACATTAAGGGTGGGTTTTTTCACCCCAGTTTACCCAGTCTAGACATTCTCTCAAAGGCATGCCCATGGGCTCATCTCTTTAATCGATTAGAGAGCCTGTCAAGTTCACAATTGATTTTAGCAATCACAAGGACTTTCTGGGCAGGAGTTCCTGGAGACCGTGTGCCCTTAACATGCTCCAACGTAACCGCTTTGCCCTTACTGTGAGGGGTCGCCATGGCATTGCCTTCATTCTGTGGGCCATGTAGTTGAATGGGATTCATACAAATGCAGGATAAGGAATGAGGGACAAATGACTTGAAAGCTGTTATTATCTGGTGCTGCCCTTCATTCTAGGCAGCTCCGGAAACTTCTATCCTTTCTTTTGTGCACACAGGAAACTCCTTGTCAGGAAAAGGCAGGACTTACAGGAAATACGCTTTCCAACCTCTCCACCAGAAAAATAATGAAGACACTGAAGTATGTCTTCCCTTGTTATACCAAGCGCATCTAAAGACAGCCTATTTTTATAAGAAAGTTGAGACGCGAGAATGGTTGCTCCAGCATAATTTGCCTCTTTTTTCATTTTGCTGATGTCTGGCAGAATATCCTTCTTCTCTGCCTCTCTTGATGGATTTGGGCATCACGGTAACCTCAGTTTTCTTTCGAGCGTTATTGATGAACCTCTCTACAATGAGCACTCCTCTTCCTGACTCTGTGAAAGATCCAGGAAAAAAAATCTAAAAGTTTTTATATTTGTGTCTTGGATATTTCACGACCAACATCACCTCCCAGATAAAATGACTTCTAGAATAAGTTGCTCACTATGTGTGTATATAAGTCTGTAAATAATATTTTAGAAAACCAGCAGCCACATACAACAAAGCGATCCTAGAATCACATAAGGCGGAGGCAGGTTGCTCCCAAAGTAGCAAGGTGTACACTGAAGGCAAAACTCCTCTCCGGAGACAGACCTCACCGGCTTGAATCTCAGCCTGCCTCAGCTGACAAAACACAAAGAAACTCTGCTGTCATCTGATCAAGAGGCAAAAAGGGGGTGTATATACCATGTAAATAGCAATAAACCAAGACCTACCAACACAAATAAAAGCCACTTTGAATGTTCTTAACATTTAAATGCCTACAATTCAACTCTAAAGTCTTGGGATTTTTATCTTCACAGAACTCTCCCAAACTCTTTTGCCCTAAGAACAGAAGCTTTGACATCGACGCCATCTACAGCGTGATTGACGATGCCAAACAGTATGTGTACATTGCCGTCACGGACTACCTGCCCATCTCCAGTACGAGCACAAAAAGGTCAGGGGCTTTCCACGGGGTCTTGAGGCCTTTGGGCTCTGGGATGCTTTCCTGCTCTATCAGGAAGAGCACACTCTGCCAGTGTGTCTAGTGTATTTCTTCCCCAAGCAGGTCCAGTTTAAAGGCTCAGGGTCTCACTCTGCAGGAGTACCTCTCTAATTTATCCTACAATCACAAGAGCAATCTCAGAAAGAAGGTTGGGTGATTAACAGAAAATTGTATCCCTCTGTGCCCTCAATGTGAGGCTGAAGGGGATTTAAAACACGTGTTCTCAGACAGTGCGCCCTTCCATATGAGAAGGATATCTTTACAGCGAATAGCGTCTCAATAATTCCTCACTGTTTAATCACAGAGTAAAGTGGGAATGATTCGGGGGCAGAAGATACTACAGAGCTTTAGGGAGAATAATCACACACACCCAGGCATTCCCTCTTTGGCTTGCTTGCTGGAAGGGCAGATCTTTGGGTACTTGTCACTGTTCTCAATAATTGGTTTAACCGGGAAACCCTTTCCAAAATGCACATTTCTGACTTCGAATGAAGACCTTCAACTTTTGGAAAATTATAATTTCAAAATAGCCGTTTAGCGAGTTTAAGTGATTAAGTTCGCCATATATTACTTGAACACTTTCATCTTGCCAATCCCACGTTATGCATAATATGCAGCATCTTTATGCAAATGATTGTAACTTTGCAAAGAGCCTGCCAGAAGCAGGTTGCTTTATGACAGTGGGAAAGCGTTCTGAGCTGTCAGAGGCACATTATTAAGACAGAGCTGCTTTAAAACATTAGCCATCTTTTGAGTGTTCGTGGATTTTCCCACACACTTTCCCGTTGCTCCTCCTCTTTACGCTCCTCTCATTTCTTGTTTATTTGGCTTTGGACTAAATCTTAGATGCCAGCTTACCTCTGGAAACATAACACATGGTTGTCCTGTTACCAAGGAGGACATGGGTAGTACCGGAGGGGTAGGGGGACAAGCTCTTGGGGTTCTAGGACAATGATGGCTCAAGACTGACACATTTTGTTCCATGGCCTTCCATGGGCCAAACCGAGGTCTTTCATAGTCTGGAGTGGGAGGTTGTGGTGAATGGTGCTACACACCCATAATCCCAGATCTTGGGAGGCTGAGACAGGAAGTTCATGAGTTCAAGATCATCCAAGTCTGCACAGTTTAAAACCAGGCTAGGCTACATCATGAAACCTTGTCTAAAAAAATCAAACAAAAAAAAAAAAACAAAAACAAAAAACAAGAACAACAAAAAACCTTACAAGCAGGGGAAAATGTAAAGACTGTTAAAAACCCAGACACCGAACTGAAATCTCATCTCTTAGTTATCATTCCGGCTGTCATTCAAAAACTTCGGGAGGAGGGTGTTTCGAGACAGGGTTTCTTTGTGCAGCCTTGGCTGTCCTGGACTAGCTTTGTTGACCAGGCTGGCCTCGAACTCGCAGCTATCTGCCTGCCTCTGCATCCATGAGTGCTGGGATTATGGGCGTGCACTGCCCTACCCGGCTCAAACACTCTTTGTACTGTGTGTGAAGATGGCATGATGAAGCTCATTGTTTCATGTGCTAACTTTAAAAAAAATTAGCTTGTAAAAAGAACCATTTATTCATCTCAAATATAGAAGGAGTCAACAGACCAAGGAAAGATTCCAACAAGCCCAGCTCAGCAAATAAATTGGGACTACCTACAGAGACATGGACAGTAACAAAATAAATTTTCAAGCCTACACTTTCAGCTTTCTAAACAAAGGGGCACCAAAGAGAAATACGTAGCTCAAACATTAAGGTTATAATTACATTCTTCTCAGTCATGTGGATGAATTTTATTTAAAAGTCAAGTTGGACTTGTGTTTACATAATCTTAAAAAGTTCAAAAGTGAATTCAGTGTCTTTGTAGAATTAGCTAATATCTTGGATTTAAAATTTGGTCTCTTCATACCCAAATACCTAAAGGATAGATAGGATAGATAGATAGAAAGTCATGAACACACGTGTCAGAAAATCTCTAAAGTGTTAAATAGAGAGAATGTTGGGATTTCTGCCTTTTGAGGTAACAGAGAAAGTGTGATGCTGATGCAGTAATCCACCAACTTAAAAAAAAAAAAATTAAAAGCCCAGAGGGGGCTCCAGCTCAGACAGACAGCACTTGCCTAACATTTTCAAGGCTCTGAGTTCATTCCCCGACACCACAAACAGTGACCACCAGAACTAACGAATAAGAGCAAGGCCTTATGGCAGACATGTTTAAAGATACCATGGTGCAACCTTGGATGATAACCTAAAATAATTATTTTTAAAGTTACATTTAAGAGGGAACAGGACGGGAGCCTACCACAGAGGGCCTCTGAAAGGCTTTACCCTGCGAGGTATTGAGGCAGATGCTGAGATTCATAGTCAAACTTTGGGCAGAGTTCAGGGAATCTTATCAAAGAAGGGAGAGATAGTAAGACCTGGAGAGGACAGGAGCTCCACAAGGAGAGCAACAGATCCAAAAAGTCTGAGCACAGGGGTCTTTTCTGAGACTGATACTCCAGCCAAGGAAGATGTAGCCCATGGCAGTTCAGTGTCCAAGTGGGTTCCACAGTAATGGGAACAGGGACTGTCTCTGACATGGACTGAGTGGCCTGCTCTTTGATCACCTCCCCCTGAGGGGGGAGCAGCCTTACCAGGCCACAAAGGAAGACAATCCTGCCAGACCTGATGAGACCTGATAGACTAGAATCAAAGGGAAGGGGAGGAGGACCTCCCCTATCAGTGGACTGGGGGAGGGGTGGGGAAGCAGGAGGAAGGGTGGGATGGGGTGGGGAGGAGGGAGGGAGCTACAGGGGAGATACAAAGTGAATAAACTGTAATTAATAAAAATAAATTTAAAAAATCTATATACATGAATGATATGTAGGTTGCCTATGTTTTTAAAATATTGTTAATCAGAAATAAAGGATTGCCCTCTCTTTGTGAAAGAAAGAAAGAAAGAAAGAAAGAAAGAAAGAAAGAAAGAAAGAAAGAAAGAAAGAAAGAAAGAAA